GGCCCTGTGCCTCTCAGATTCCAGACCAGAGACCCCTGGAACAGATCCCTGTTCTCTCTGATTCCTGATGTGAGTCCCCCTGGAGGAGAATCCCACCTGGAACAGGGTATGGAACCCCCTGGAGGAGAATCTTGCCTGGAACAGATCCCTGTGCCTCCCTGATTCCTGACCAATCCCACCGGGAACACATCCCTGTGCCTCCCTGATTCCTGACCAATCCCACCGGGAACACATCCCTGTGCCTCTCGGATTCCTGACCCAATCCCACCGGGAACACATCCCTGTGCCTCTCAGATTCCTGATTGGAACCCCTGGAGGAGAATCCCTCCTGGAGCAGGTCCCTGCCCCTGGCTGTCCCCAGCGGTGGCACTGAGGACATTGCTGGCAGCTCCCGGGACTGGGACAGCCCCATCCAACTGCTCCAGGGGCCTGGCAGCTCCTCCAGAACCACATCCAGGAATTCTGCTGCCTCCCTTCCCGGCACTGCTGTCCATGAGGAACCCCCACACTGGCCAGGGGTCCCCTCCCGTTGCTGTCACAGCTCCGTGGGGACACCCAGCTGGAGGAACTTCTCCCCACGGCTCCGTGGGGACACCCAGCTGGAGGAACTTCTCCCCACGGCTCCATGGGGACACCCAGCTGGAGGAACTGCTCCCCACAGCTCCTGCCCGTGGGAAGGACTCTGAAGATCCCTGTGTGGGAATTGTGTCCCTGCAGCCCTCCTGGCCGCAGGTGACATCTTGGGAGGCGTTGGGACTCTCCAGAGGGGTCAGTGGTGGCTCAGGCAGGGACAGTGGTGGTGTCCTGGTGTCCTCCTCCATCCTGAGATCTGGACTGCCCCTCTCCAGATTTTCTCCCAAAGGAAACTCCCAACCTGCAATGGGATGGAGGGATTTGGGTTCCGGCAGGAGCTGGGGCCAGGGGCTGCTCCCCGAGGATGAATTCTGCTCTGGCCCCTCGCCGGTGGCACAGGACTGGCACAGCCGCTGCCTTTGCTGGGTGGCAGGTGGGGGTGGCCTCATCCTGCGGTTTTCCAACGTTTTTTAGCTGCTTTTGTGATTTGGGATCTTCCCTGGGCAAAAGGAGCAATCCTGGGCTGTGCCTGGCTCGTCACCCCAGGGAGGGGCGGTGGCTTCGGTGACGCAAAAGTGACCCCGGTTCCTCTGGCCTCAGGCAGTTTTTGGGGGGGCTGTCCCAGCGGTGGGGATGCAATTCCAGCTTGGAGCAGTCATCCCAATAAAAGCTTTGGGAAAGCCCACGGAGGAGCCCGGAGGCGTGAGCGTGCAAATGTGGGAGAGGGGCTCAGGGCAGGCTGGGATCGTGGAATCGCGGAACGATTTGGGTTGGAAGGGACCAAAAATATCAAACCCCTGACAAGACAGGGACTCCTTCCCCTCTCCCGGGCCCGGAGCTTTGTTCAGCTGGAGCGGGGGCAGGAGGGATCCTTTGTGCGGCCGATCCTTCCCTTCCTGCCTCCCGAAATCCCGGACAGAGCCGCGTCCTGGGAATGAACCCGCTGCAGGATTTATGGACGAGGTGACAGCGACTGGGGTGACAAAATCAGAGCTGGGGGTGTCCAGAGACGGGGGAAGGAGCAGCTCTGAGCCCCGAGGAGGGAAAAGCAGCTCCAGGTCTCTGCCTCTGGATGAGCCACAAGCTCCCATCACCCCACAGCATCCCGGGGACATCCCTGGAGCTGCCGAGTCCAGCCCTGCGTGCCCCTGGCTCGGGGGGATTTTCCCCGCGATGGATCCGTGCGGAACCGGGAGGGTGAGGGCGGCATTCCCCTCCCTGCCCTGACCCTGCGCCTCCATCCTGCCCTTCCCTGGGATGCTCCTGCTGGGAAACGGGATCCTGCGGGACGCAGCCTCGCGGCTTTGGGCACAGCAGGGCTGGGTTTGAGGATTGAAGCGGTTCGGGGTGGTTCGGTTTGGGCTGGGTCTCGTGGCAGAGCTGCGGACAGCAGATGGCATCCCTGGGCTGAGCTGGGCTGCAGCAGCACCTCGGGCTGCCCTCCCGCTGTCCCGGGCTGCCCTGGCCGGGCGCTGCTGCACCGGGGCGCCTCTAAAATCCCATTTCAGGTGGTGCCAAGAACGAACAAATAACTTGGATGCTGCGCCTCTCCTCCAGTATCTTATTCCCGCAGAGAGACGCCCTTGTGGAGCCCAAACATCTCCCAGGAGCTGGGACAGAGCTGGATTTGGGTCCGAAGGGTCCCTGCTGCTGCTGCCAGCGCCAGCCCAAAAAATGCCTCCAGGGCTGGGTCTTGCTGCAGCTCCCGGAGTTCTGCAGTGAATCCCTTGGGATGAGAGGGCAGCAGAGCTCCTTTCCCTGGATAAATGTTGGGTTTGTCCCTGGGGAGCTGCAGAAAGCCCTGGGCCGGCCCCAGGGACCCCGCACCCTCCGTGTCCGCACGCCTTTATCCCAACCCAGCCGAGCCTTCGGAGTTTTCCAGCGACAAATTAAAAAAAAATCCCGGAGTGGCCCCGGCCGTGTCCTCGCCTGAACTCCCCAGGCTCGCGGTTTACTGAGAGGCTTTTCAGCCCCGGTGGCTGCTCCGACACAGAGGCGTGGGGCCGAGCTGGCCCTGCTGCCAACAATCATCATTTATTGTCCCCGAGCAGGCTTTGTCTGCACAAACAGGAAACTTCCCCAAGGAACATCCTCCACAGGATCCGGCGGCAGAGCAAAAATGATTCCTGCACCTTGCCATGGGCCTGGGACACGCGGCTGGGCTGGCCCTGCCTGGTGGGGACAATATTTTGGGGATCATCTCTGCTTTTTGGGGTCAGCTCTGCCTTTTGTGGTGACAGCTCCCAAAATGAGCCCAGTGTGGGGTGCTGTGAGCGCTGTTCCAGCTTCCGTCGGGAATTCTGCTCTGGAGAGCTGGAATGGAGCTCTGGGAAGCACCTCTGGCCCTGCCATCCTCACCCCTGGGGTGTCCCCAGCCCTGTGGGGCCACCAGCAGCGGGGTCACCCCCGGCTCTTCCCATTCCTGGGGAATCTGCCGGGGCTGGAGCGGATGTGGAGTCACCATCCTGAGACACAGACACTTCCTGCTCGCAAAATAAAAGCTCCAGGTTGTTTTTGTTTTGGTTTGGGTTGGGTTTTTTGTTGGTTTTTTGTTTGTTTTATTTTTGGGTTTTTTTGTTTGTTTGTTTGGTTGGTTTGGTGGGGTTTTTTTGTGGGGTTTGTGGGGTTTTTTAAGGGAATTTTTTCTTATTTTTCCTCTAAATGCCTCGGGGTTTCTGGAGCTCCGTGTGCTGTGACTGTCCCCCACCAGTGCCCAGGAGGGTGACAGGGACACCTGGGGGGTGGATTTGTGGTGAAGGGAGACTTGGAGGGGTGGTTTAATGGGAAAATTGGGATGGTGGGATCGGATCCATGGATGGATGGAGGGATGGATGGATGGATGATGGATGGATGATGGATGGATGGATGGATGGATGGATGGATGGAT